GACAGGGTCGCCTTTTTTTTCCATTCACGTGTGTATTGCGGATTTTTCCCGAGTGACAGCCTCCTTTTACTCGGTCACTGGAACGAGGCTCCTATTCACCTGGAATTTCCAGATTCGTTCGTAAGCACAGCTTCTGAAACAGAAACGGCTAGAGAGAGTTACAAGACGAGGTGCCTATATGGCCGCATTCGTACTGACCAACAGGCTGCGCTAAGTTTACACCGGTTACATTTATCGCAGGTGTTTATTTTGTTTAGTTTACCGCATCGAAACTGCAACCGACCTCTCAATGCTGCATGTTGATAACACGTCCGCCCCGTGTGCGCGCCATGCGCATCGCCAATTGATTTGCTCAAACAGAATTCTACAACAGCGTATGCGCGGAGGGGGGGGGAAATCATTACCTTTATGAATGGATTCCGGGTCTAAAAACCACAATTCGAATAGCTTGATACTGTTTCTTGACAGGATTTCGTTCTCGTCGAGTCTAATCCTGTCGAGTTAGCTGCGTTTTGCGAGTTCGCGCGTTTATACCGATGCGTGTCAGTCATGGGTGCTCGGCGTGATTTTTCAGTTCCTGACATATTGGCTTAAACCGCAACTGCGCCTGATCTGACAAGCGAAATCTGGTGTGCCCTGCCGTGGTAGCCTGTTTTTTGTAGCCCCTCATACGTCGCATAATTGCTGCAGGCCCGACTTCGAGTGTTTAAAAAGTGTTTGACGGCCTTCGAAATGTTTTTAAAAGATGGGAGCGCTAACAAGAATTGAGGTTTTCGCGTGGTTGACCCTCTTCACTTATTACTTGTAGTTGCTAGTGGAGTTGTGCGGGTAATGACATCTGAACGCGTTTTAAACGCCTAAGTTTGTTGTTGGTTACGTGGTTACTGTCGTAATGCAGTACTTATGTGCGCCGTTTGTCGATATTCTGTGTACTTCAGTTTTTTCCTCCTCCACGGCACGTGCTATGAAGGCCACTTTTGATCCACTTCTGTTGGCCTTCAACTGTTCGCACACATTCCTCAGAACGGGCTTCTCGGATGTCATTATACTTACACATCAGAGGTAGAGGTAAACCATTTGATGGTCACCCTCATCCTCCAGTGATATATGCAACCTCCGACTCATCATAGAGCTGGTAACTTAGGTAATTCAGCAATGTTTCTGCCTTTTGCTCCAAAACCGACCACACTGGAGGCACTATACTTTGGGACTCGCTGGG